TGCCGCCTCAGTCACATCACAAATGACCTCACAGACCTGATTATCAACAGACATAACACCTTGAACATTTACAACATGTCAATTCAAAATGACACTATAAAAAAGTTCAAGCAATCAAGGAGAAACACTTATTTCGGTTAGCTATTCAATTAGAGGACAGTGTATAGAGATCCAACCCTAAAGAGATCTCTCCGGTTCATCAAAAGAGAAAGGTTCAGGTTGTTGGATTACTGCATTCATTGAAGAGATTTGGCTAATCCTGAACATGATTGAGGTTCCGTGCTGATGCTCTGTACTTGCGTTATGTTGGGAGATCACTAACACCCATTTCACTGGTGCTTGTGGAGAGAGAAATAAGGTGAATCTCACACTTTTATGCAAGAAAGGTGGCTATGTTTCTATGAGACACAACAACATCCGCTGGATCTAAATGAGAGCTGCAGCGTGAGGTATGCAGAGATGTAGTGACTGAGCCAGCATTGATACCCCTTGATAATGTAGAAATAGTTGGTTACCAATGCTGATAGAGCTGCACCTGATGTATCCCTACGAAGGTCTCTGGAGCACATTTGAACGACATCTTTGATGTCTGTGTTACCCTACCCCAATCCACCCACATATGACAATAGATATGGGAACTGATATTATAAAGCTCTTGAAACTGTGGACAAATGAAAAAGTACAACAACAGAATCATCCAGGTGGAAAAAGGCACCTTTCCCCACTCTATTACTCAACAAATGGCGGATGGGGGTCCACAAGCCACAAGATACACAAGAGACTCATGAAAACTATCAGAAGAGAGGAGGAAGACTATGCGGCTAATTATGTGTTCATGCGCACGTTTAGATTTCAATTCTCAGGAGCACCCTGATAGCGGTTTCAGGGGTGAGAGAGGGTGACGGGCAAGCGTATACCATTGCCAGTTCAAGTGTAACTTCGTTTAACTTGATTACCTGCACCTGGAACTCTGAATGTTTCTAGGACACTTCTTTTTATATTGTGATTTTGGTTTCATCAGATCTCGTGTTACACCGTTCCTTTTTTTATTTTTTATGGACACAGTAATTTATTGGACACTCATGTCAGCATAATTTTAATCATGAATCAGTATTTTTATCTATTTATCTTTTTAATATTTGTGCTCTGCTTTAGCATCATTGATATTAAAAGTTCAGCCATGACCTTATGTCAGCCAATGGCCATTGCTATATTATGTTGTATATTGTTGGAATATTCTTTTTCTTCTGTAAAAAAATATAATGTTAAAATGAATATAATTTACATACTTTCCACTACATATATAAGTTGTTAAGCGTTTTTTAGCAACATGTGGATTACACACAAGATATTTCATTGTGCTTCTCTTTATTAGTAGCATAAATTTAATCATCAATTCTTCCTATTATATATATTTCTCCGATAACATTCCAAAATAACTATCATTTATACAGATCCGTTTAAAATAGTTTTTTTAAAAAAAAGCCTCTTTATCTTATTTTAAAAACTTAACACATCAGGTACCACAATTTTTGAATCCGAGGGAAGTTCTGTTCCACTTGATATATGGTTCTCACCTCTCCATGACGATAATGGAACTGTGGACTTTCTTTCATTTTACTGCTACTTTTTACTTTTATGTGAGGATGTACTCGCCTATATTTCTTTGAAGGAGCGGCGCACCGGCTATCTTCTCGATGGCATGTGCTACGATGTTGCGCGCGCCGGGTCCTGATCTTCTTTAACAATGGTCAAACTTTTACTGCATCTACTGTTTAATACCAACATTAGTCCTGATCTTCTCATACTGATCTAACAAGCTCCGTAATTGGCCCAAACCACTTATCATTTTAAATGATTCAATGTGGTCCTCCACGGATTCGTGCTCTGCCAGCGTTATTTAAATTAAGGATGTCAATCCGACAAACTGTACTATGGAGAGTAACTTCTCGTCAATCAGACAATATTGGGGGCAAAGACAAAAAGATAATTGGCAAGATTTATTACGACTTATTAGTTTTGTGTTCACGATAGAGTTTTAAGTGAAATATCAACACCTGGTGCTGATAATTGAGATCAAATCTAATCAAAAATTGTATTTGACATAGTACGTGCATGCACACTTTTCGCGAGTGATATTGGGTTACGAAAACATGGATTTCTTGTCTTGTGTTTGTATGACCCGCAGCGCACGAAGTGCGCGGCTCACGTATCGTCCGGGCTATAGTGAAACGACGTCGTGGGGGTCACAACTTGATACAACACACTACATGAAATAATAAACTATTTCTTCTTGTCTTCATTCTATATCATATTGTAAGTAATATTTATCAATATTAATCATGATAAAAACAAACATTTAAAAATGTACTTTATTAATACAATACTTACCTAGTTGAAGTAAAGATTCATTAAAACGTTTCTTGCTACGTTCATGTATGAATGAAACCACAGATAATAAATTGTGTTTTTCCTTATTACTGATATAACTGGTACCTTCAAATTCTTGTTAAAATTCTTTCGAAACTTTCCAAAAATTGAAGTAATTTACAATACATTTATATTAGAAATCATGTTTTTTTAAAACTTTCAAATCCATTTATTAGACTCAAAAACTGTCAAGCAGTTCTTCACCTCGAAGGGGAGTTTTGTTCAATAAGGACAATACGCTCTGGAAGAGAAAGGATCATGAAGATTCTTTTCCTTTTCAACTCTTTACTACATCTATTGGATGAAATCCAAGATTATGACCTGATCTGCTTTACTACTTTACAGTTACTAGCAAATGCAGTGGCGTCGTAACGAAGGGCCTGCTGACCCTGCTGTTGCAGGTTGGGGCGCCAGTCTTAGGGGGCGCCAACATCGTCGTTTGAATGTGGGACAATTCGAAAACTTAACTAAAGTACTAGCAAAACTGCGCGTTTTTGCTCTTGATAAACATCTTTTTTTAGAGATTTACCGGCGTATCCTCTTAATTGCTAATTTGTTCATTTTTGGGAGGGCACCAAAAGGAGAGGGGGGGGCAAACGGGGGGGGGGGGCGCCTTTTCGGCAAGGGGGGCGCAACAGGCAACGTTACGCCCTGTGCAAATGTACTATTGTTCTTTTGCACTTACACTGTGGTGTACTTTGGTTCCGCTTGTAAAAGATTGACCTTGCACTTTTGCCCCGGGTCATGATATTTCGAGGAGAAAAAAGCGCACACTCGATTTTGAGTAAATTTAGAGGACTATCATCCCGTTCATGTACTCTCCAACTCCATAATGTGATTTGATGAAATGAATAATTTAAATTATTTACATTTTCCATCCTAAATTTACATTTTTCCATCCTAAGGTCTTGGCATAGTCTTGCACCAGTGGACACGTGAACGGTGGGGTTTGTCAGAAATGTAGGGTTAAGTAGAGAACTGCTGTCATTGATGCTCTGTCGAGGAAATTGATATCGTCTATAACGGTCCCGTGTGTAGGAGTTGTTGTGGGGATTCGGTTACAGGCATTGGGTTGTGATGGCAGGAAGAATGTTCCATGACCTTGTTTGTTTTTCAGTGGAAAACGAGTACGCTTTGAGAAGGATAATGAAAGGAGAATATGGTTTTGTGGATACTTGTCAAGCAGGAAAGCAAACAAAATTAATTGGGGACTCTAATGGGTGGTGATGAGTTGTTAGCTGAGAGAGTGCCAAGCTGTTTATCAAGAGATGGTGACTGGAGAAAGAATCTTTTCTTGTTCCAGAGGTAAATCAGGTAGCGACTTAATAAAAGAAAACTGTATCGGCTCATCCTTTTTTTGCAGTTGCTACCAAGTGGAAGGGCTATCGTTCGGCACTGTTCCATATCTACTTGCAATCATGTGCATAAACCGTCAGCAAGTCTAAGCAAGAGGGACCATGTAACATATCTCACCATGAGCATTTGGTTAAATGGAAATATGGAGAACTTGGACGATCTAATCTATGAACGAAAAGTTTTCAATGAACGAAAAAAGTTTTATTTTACATTCCTTTAATCTAATAAATTAAGAGCTTAATCCACGAATTAGTTAGCTAGAAGTAATCTTGAGGAAAATATTTTGGTGATTGTATAAATTATTTAAAAAACTTTTTTGGTTGTTGTATTTTACTATTGGTATGAGGTTGATTTTAGTGAGACAAGTTCAGTTTCTCTAATTATCTTAAGAAAAATTTCTACTTTCAGTAGGCAATGATGAGTGGCAGGAATGAGGGACCAAAACGCTTGGGGCTCAATGGCCAATTTTACAAAACCACTTCAGGGTCATGGCAGTGTGTCATTTATGTTAATTCGTTCTGAAACTGACCTGACTGCACTTCTAACAATTCTAGATAATTCTCTTCTAGATAGGTATAATGATGGGAGTGAGGAGTATTCAGAAAGCATTGGTTGCAGCAACAAAAATATCAGCGGGAATCCAGGAAGATGAGTTTTATGCCGACTAATGCTTCTTGGGGAAAGTTAAACAAGCACCAAATTTGTTGGACTGTTCCAATGGACACCTTTGGTGTTTCCAGCTTTCAGCATACATTAAACAGGTCCTTGGAGAACACCCTCAGCAGTTAAAGCAGATCAGTTTGTTCTGCACCTCACAGTATCCTCCACTCAGGAGTGGATATTTGAGAGGATTGACGCAGAGACCGTCTCAGAGGCTTGTTTATATTTGCTATGGTCAGGCGGCCCATCACTAAACGGACTCAGAATTTGTGGAAGATATCTCTGCTGCAAATATTTGGCAAAGCATCGCTGTGACAATTGCTGAGTCAATAGCAAATTGATGGCAAGGCGCCTTTTGTAGAGATGATACCATCATTGCTGTCTGAATGAGTTCACTGAGCAGATTAATCCATACTTTATTAGGCCGGATAGAACGGAGAAACATGGCGTAAGACAATTGGATATCGGCGAGATATTGCGCCAGATTCATTGGAAAAGCAGTTATACTTGTCTTTCCAAAACTGATATACAATTGCTGCTGCCCATGCAGATACCTCGTGCATGGGCTCTAAATCAGAAATAGAGGTGCCATTCATAGCAATGAGACAGATCTGGGAAGACAGTGACACTGATGCAATACTACAGGTTGACGCTGTTTTGCGCATTCTATCGTCTTAATAGTGAAGCAGCCTGCACAATGTTCATTGAGTATCTGTCCCTCCGCTCTATCCAGTATCTAAAGAACCACTACAAAGCAGCTGACTGATCATTATTACTACCGAGGTTCCACTTACAACTTAAGGTCTGAGGACAGGTTCAAATCAGGTGTTGTAGCAGCGATGGAATTCATTTGCGTTAGGGATCAAGCATTAGTAGAGGACTAGCCCACGCCTCCAAGCCCAGTGTTTGCAATACATCTTGGTATGGCTGTCGACAGTAGTGCTGGTGGAAAGATTGAAGGTATTACATCTATTTGGTGGATACGCTGTTGGAGCAAGGACCAGTATGGATTATTACCAAAAGACAGTAGAAGTCCTGATTGGAAGAAATAGCGAGGACCTAGATCTTGCGCAGAGAAAGTATTCTCGGCACTGGTATTTAAATTGAGGTCTGTAGGAGACGCCTTTTGGGTGCAGCAATTGCAGCGAAGCTTTTTAAGAACAAATATGTCTCAGATAAAGTCCTTAATGGTGTCAGGACATCAAGCGTTGTCCATCCATTTGCTGTGGGAGCCCCAAGCTTGCTTTGTAATGCATTTCTAAGGGAGGAATTTGTCACCCGGTGGACGTTCATTCAGAGGACCATCCCGGGTATATATAGTCACTTGTTTCAAACCATTTGGACGATTGCATCAGAACAGATTTTATTCCAGCAATCTGGGGTTAGAATCGTATCTGACTTGGTCCCGTCTCCATATTTGCATTGCCAGTCGACATGGTGGCCTAGGTATCTCCAAACACAGTTGAAAACTGCATAGAGAATTCACAGCCTCAGTTCCACCCCCCCCCCACCCCCATCCCCCCCAAAAAGACCTCACAGACTGTTTATCGACAGAAAACACCCTTGAACATTACAACATGTCAATTCAAAATGACACTATAAAAAGTCTCAAGGCATTCAAGGAGAAGAAACACTTATTTACGGTTAGAAATAATGGAAGGACAGTGTAAGGATCCCAACCTAAAGAGATCTCTCAGTTCATCAAAAGAGAAAAGGTTCAGGATGTTGGCTTACTGCACTTCCATTGAAGTGATTTGGCTACTCCCTGAACAAGATGAGTTCCGTGAGGCTCTGTACTGTTCGTCGTTATGGTTGGGAGATCCCAACACACCCCATTTCACTGTGCTTGTGGAGAGAGAAAATAAGGAATCAACACTTATATGCAAGAAAGGTGGCTTATGTTTCTATGAGACACAACAACATCGCCGATCTAAATGCAGAGCTGCAGCGTGAAGTATGCAGAGTGTAGTGACTGAGCAGCATTGATACCCTTGTTAATAAAGAAATTGTTGTTACCAATGCTTGATAGAGCTGCACTGATGTATCCTTCGAGGTCTCTGGAGCACATTTGAAAGTACATTCTTTGATGTCTGTGTTACCCACCCCAACTCACCCACATTATGACAAAAATAGATATGGAAACAGATCTATAAAGCTCATGGATTGAGGAAAATGAAAAAGTACAACAACAGAATCATCCAGGTGGAGAAAAAAGGGCACCTTTTTACCCCACTTATATACTCAACAAATGGCGGATGGGGTTCCACAAGCCCACAAGATACACAAGAGACTCACTGATAAACTATCCCCTAGAGAGGAGAAGACTATGGGGACTATTTGTGTTCACTGGCACAAGGATATAGATTCTCAATTCCAGGAGCACATGATAGCGGTCAGCGGGTGAGAGAGGGAGCGGCAAGCGTATACATTGCAGTTCAGTTTATCTTCGTTCTAACTTGATACCTGCCTACATGGACTCTGAATGTTTTCGACACTATCCTTTTGATATTGATGATATTGTATGCTCAGTTACGTTGTACACCGTTCTTTTTTATTTTTTATGACTCAGTAATTTATGTACTCTCATGTAAGCTATAATTTTTTAATCATTGAATCAGTATTTTTATCTATTAACTTATTACATTTTTGTGCTCTGCTTTGAATCACTTGACTATTAAAGTTCAGGCCATGACCTTATAGAGCCAATTGGCCATTGCTATATTATGTGTATATCTGTTTTGAATATTCTTTTCTTCTGTAAAAAATAATAAAGTTAAATTGTATCTATTTACATTCTTTCCACTACTATATAAGTTGATTAAAGCGTTTTTTAGCAACATGAGGATTACACACAAGCTATCATTGTGCTTCTCTTTATTAGGTAGCATAGTTATCCATCCATCTTTCCTATTTTATAATTTCATCCAGAACACATACCAAAAATAACTATATTTTATACAGATTCCGTTTAAAATAGTTTTTTTAAAAAGCCTCTAATCTATTTTTAAACACTTAACACAGTCCACCAATTTAGACTTCCGAGGGGAAGTTTGTTCCAATTAAATATGGTATCACCCTCTTCCATGAGAAAAGAAATGTGGACTTTCTTCATTTTACTGCTACTTTTACTTTTATTTGACGGATGTTACTCGCATAATTTCTTTGATGTAGCGCGCCCGCTTTCTCTCGATGGCAAGTGCTACGAAGTAGCGCGCGCCGGCCAGAATACATCATTAACAATGTGTCAACTTTTACTGCATCTAATGTTTAAATACCTCATTTTGACACAGGATAATATTCTCATTCTGAAATAACATGCTCCGTAATTGGCCATAACCACTTATCATTTAAAAGAATTCAATGATGGTCCCCACGTATTCGCTGCTTGCAGCGTTATTAATTATGGATGTCCACTCGACAACTGTATATGAAGAGTAACCATCTGTTCAATCAGACAAAGATGGGCAAAGACAAAAGATTATTGGGCAAAGATTTATTTACGACTTATTAGTTTTGTGTCACGATAGAGTTTAGTGAATTAATCACTGGTGTAATTTATATCAAATCTAATCAAAACTTGTCATTTGACTTAGTACGTTGCATGCCACTTTTCGCGCGTGATATTGGGATACGAAACCATGTTATCAAACTTGTCATGTGTGTATGACCGCCGCGCACGATTAGTGCGCGGTCCCTGTACTCGTCAGGGCTTTAGTGTAATCGACGTCGTGGGGGTCACAACTTGATACAACACATACTAGAAAAATAACTATTTCTTCTGTCTTCTCTCATATCAATTTAAAGGTAATAATTTAATAAAATATTAATCATGAATAAAAACAACATTTAAAAAAATGTAATTTATTGCATACTATATTCAGGTTAAGTAAAGATTCATAAAACGTTTCTTGCTACGTACATGATAAGGATGAAACCACAGATAATAATTGTGTTTTTCCTTAATTAACTGATATAACTGTTACTTCCAATTCTTGATAAAATTTCTTGAAACATATCCAAAATTGAAGTCATTTACAATAAATTTATATTAGAAATCATGTTCTTTTAAAATTTCCAATCCAATTTTAAGACTCAAAATGTCAAGCAGTCTTCACCTCCGAAGGGAGTTTGTTCAATAAGGAACTACCCCTCTGGCTGGAAGAAAAGAACACTGAAGTTTCTTTACCTTTATCACACTTTTTACTAATCTTTTGGATGAAACAGATTAAGACATGATTTCATGTTTACTACTTTACATTTACTATGCAATGCATGGCGTAACGAAGGGCCTCGATGACCCTGCTGTGCAGGGGGGCGCGTCTTAGGTGGGCGCCTAATCGTAGTTTGTATCGGTGGGACAATTCCGAAAAAACTTACTAAAGTACTAGCAAACTGCGAGTTTTGCTCTAGATACAAACTTTTTTTAGAGATTTTACCGGCGTATCTCTTAAATCGCCTAATTTGTTCAATTTAGGGAGGGAGGCACCAAAAGGAGAGGGGGGCCAACTGGGGGGGGGGGGCGCCTTTTTCGGCAGGGGGGCGCAACAGGCAAACGTTAGCCACTGTGCAATTGTACTATTTTTCTGACCACATACACTGTGGTGTACTTTGGTTCCGCATTGTTAAAAGATTGACCTTTGCACTTTGCCCCGGTGGCATGATATTTCGAAGAAAAAAGCGGCACACTTCTATTTAGAGTAAATTTTAGATGACTATCTTCGCAAGTACTTCTCCAACCTACATATGTGATTGACTGAATGAATTAATTTAAATTATTACATATTTCCATTCCTAAATTTACTTTTTCATCTACATGTCTTGGCAAGTCTGCACCAAGTGGACAGTGAACGGTTGGTGGGTTGGTCAGTAATGTAGGATAATGTAGAGAACAGGCAGATCAGTGATGTCTGACGAGGAAAATGATATCTGTTATAACTGTCCGTGGTGTAGGAGGGTTGTGGGGGATTGGATAAGGCAATTGGGTTGTCGTTGGCGTGAAGAATGGTTAAATCTCCTTGTTGTTTATCAGTGGAAAACCGAAAGTACGCTGAGATGGATAATGAAGAGATATGGTTTTTGTGTGATACTTGTCAAGCAGTGAAAGAAAACAAAATTTTAATTGGGGCTCAATGGTGGTGAAGAGCTTGTTAGCTGAAGATAAGTCTTGCTGTTTATCAAGAGATGTTGACATGGAGGAAGATATGAAATCTTTTCTATTCCCAGAGGTAAATAGGTGCGACTTATTAAAGAATGGACTCGGCTCATCATCTTTTTTGCAGATGCTACCAAGTGGGATAGGCTATCGTTCGCACTGGTTCATATCTTCTTGCCATTCATGTTGCAAAAGGTTCGTCAAGCAAGTCAAAAGCAAAGAGTCTGTAACATATCTCACCAAGCGTTTGGTTAAATGAAAAATGGAGAACTTGACGATCTTATCAATGAAATCGAAAAGTTTTTCAATGAAACGAAAAGTTTTATTTTACATTTACTTTAATTCATAAATAAAAAAGAGCTTAACACGATTAGTTGCTAGAAGTAATCTTGAGGAAATATTTCTTAGTGTTGTTATTATAATTATTTAAAAAACTTTATCTTG